GTTTTTTGTGGGGGGGGGGGAGGCGGGGGGGGGGGGGGGGGGAAGAGAACCTACAAAAGATAAGGGGGACTCTGGAGATAGAAGTGAGCCCGGAAGCACAGTGACTGGGGGGAAAGGAATCAGCTCAATGTGGAGAAGAGAACCGAGGGAGAGGGTTCAAAACCTCAGCAGGGCCAAGGGAAGCCTAGGGTGCCTGCTCTTTACAGGAGCACATGACTCCAACGAGTGCCTCGCTCAGGCTCATAGCTACAGAGGGGCATTTTGGGGCCTTGCCCCTTAATTAAAAGCCCCGCCCACAAATAGCCATGCCAGAAACCTTATTTTTTGGGGGGGGATTTTTTGGGGTCTTTTTAATATGTGTGTGTGTATGTGTGTAGAAACCTTATTTTTGAGGAGAGACCCCCGTAAGCAGCAGTCTCCCTCCCACTGTGGAATTCTTCAGGGGCATCATGGGACCTTGGAAAACTGATAGCTCAGAAGACATTTAGATGCTTTCTGAGTTCCCTTCCACGGGGCAAGAAAGCTTAGAAGAGCACTCAAGAGTGGCACCTTCGATACATCTCCAACAACTCCCCTTTCTGCTAGCCCAGTCCTGCTGTAGACCACCTAGGTCACGGTGAGACTTTCGAAAGTATTCCCATGAGCCTCTGGGAAAGATGCAAATGGATCGCCCCTCTGAGCTGTTGTTTTCCCAGGAACTGACACGCTCGCTGCCTCGTCCCTCGAAAGGAAGGCCTAGAAACAGGCTCGGAGCCTCCCCCTTTAAAGACAGGCATTCAGATTAATTTCATTCACTGTAATTCAACTGCCCCCTTAAAGATTTAAATGCCCCCACCGAACAAAAATGTAATGGCTGCCTCTGGTGGTACGCCCTCAGAAGGTCTCTTGAGCACCACCCCACCAAGGCAGACGCCAGCTCCTGTTAAAGTCTGGGTGGGGGCGGGGGGACCGATGGAATGTTAGCAAACAGTGCAGAGTTTTGAAGGAAGGCCGTGGGAGGTCAGGATTCGGTGGGGAAGGAGAAAAGGCGGAAGTGTCATTTGCTGAGGGGCAGGAAGCTCGGTGGGAAGAGAACCTACAGAAGATAAGGGGGACCCTGGAGACAGAAGTGAGCCCGGAAGCACAGTGACTGGGGGGAAAGGAATCAGCTCAATGTGGAGAAGAGAACCGAGGGAGAGGGTTCAAAACCTCAGCAGGGCCAAGGGAAGCCTAGGGTGCCTGCTCTTTACAGGAGCACATGACTCCAACGAGTGCCTCGCTCAGGCTCATAGCTACAGAGGGGCATTTTGGGGCCTTGCCCCTTAATTAAAAGCCCCGCCCACAAATAGCCATGCCAGAAACCTTATTTTTTACCTCACCCGGGGGAACTCCCCCGATCCCCCCAAAACGACCTCTGGTGTGTGTGTGTGTGTGTAGAAACCTTATTTTTGAGTAAAGACCGCTCTCCTCTCCCTCCCACTGTGGAATTCTTCAGGGGCATCATGGGACCTTGGAAAACTGATAGCTCAGAAGACATTTAGATGCTTTCTGAGTTCCCTTCCACGGGGCAAGAAAGCTTAGAAGAGCACTCAAGAGTGGCACCTTCGATACATCTCCAACAACTCCCCTTTCTGCTAGCCCAGTCCTGCTGTAGACCACCTAGGTCACGGTGAGACTTTCGAAAGTATTCCCATGAGCCTCTGGGAAAGATGCAAATGGATCGCCCCTCTGAGCTGTTGTTTTCCCAGGAACTGACACGCTCGCTGCCTCGTCCCTTGAAAGGAAGGCCTAGAAACAGGCTCGGAGCCTCCCCCTTTAAAGACAGGCATTCAGATTAATTTCATTCACTGTAATTCAACTGCCCCCTTAAAGATTTAAATGCCCCCACCGAACAAAAATGTAATGGCTGCCT